TTCCTTCCTTCCTTCCTTCCTTCCTTCCTTCCTTCCTTCCTTCCTTCCTTCCTTGCCTGCCCTCCATTCGTCATCTTCAACTTAAAACCACAATTCAGAATTTCTGTTGCTAAGCAAGGCAGTTAGGACAGTTGTGAGCAATTTCAAAACTTTGTGTGTATGCCGTAGTTGTTAAGTGAATCAACTACAGTTAAATACATTACTAAGTGAGTCTACTTTTCTCCCATTGGCTCTGCTTACTGGAAACTGGCTGGGAAGGTTGCAAATAGTGATCCCATGATCCCGGGATGTTGCAATTATAGCAATAGCGGTTAGACTTATATGCCGCTTCACAGTGCTTTCCAGCCCTCTCTAAGCGGTTTACAGAGTCAGCCTCTTGCCCCCAACAATTTGGGTCCTCATGTCAACCTTGAGCCAGGTGGGATTCGAACTGCCAAATTGCAGGCAGACGGGAGGCAGCAGAAGTCACCTGCAATACTGCACTCTGGCCACTGCGCCACCATGGCGGTTGACAAGTTTCCAAATTCATGGGAAAAGTGTGATGGTCATAACGCGAGGACCATTCTTAAGTGCTGTTGTAACTTTGAGTGACTGCTAAACAAATGGTTGAAATTTGAAGGCTTGCTTGTATTTTACCAGTTTACATTCCACTATTAGTTAGCTCTTTGTTCCAAGAACGTTTCCCCAAGTGCTGCGGTCAGATTAAGCGTTGAAAAGTCACTTGAAAAAATCCAGGAGAGTGTAGTCTCCATACAACCTGTCACAGGCTACCAAGGTGGGGGGGAAACTTTGATTGAAGCGTAACCACTAAAATTGCCAACGTGGAGATTTTAGACTTGGCATTGGAGGCAGTTCTGACCATGGCCCCCTCCACCCCCCAAGTTGGTGTCTAGGCCAGGGGTCTCCAACCTTGGCAACTTGAAGACTTTGTGGACTTCAACTCCCAGAATTCTCCAGCCAGCTATGCCTTCCATTGAAAAGTTGTGAAACTCCTTGGTGGAAGCCCCATCTCTCTGTTTCTCAACCTTGGTGACTGTAAGCTGGAGTGGAGAACGACTTCGGTCAATTTCACAACTGTTGAAATGAAGGGTGACGCGTCCTGAACGTTCTCCCGGGGGATTTCCCATGGCTGAATTGAATGCTGGGCATCTTGAGACGTTCCACAGTGTGCATCATTTCCATAATGTCCTCTAGATCCAAAAACCCTCGTTGGTCTGAATCCTGAACGTGAGACTAAAAGATCTGCTTTATTGTTTATCGATAAAACGAGGATCCAGATTGTTGGGGGGGGGGCAATTATGCCGACTTTATAAACCGCTTGGAGAGAGCTACAAAGCACTGTGAAGCGGTATATAAGTCTTGAGTGAAATTACTATAGTCCTCCCTCCCTCCCTCTGGTTAGAATGCAGAATTGCAGGCTAAACTCTGCCCGTTGCCAGCAGTTCGATCCTGACCGCTCAAGGTTGACTCAGCCTTCCGTCCTTCCGAGGTGGGTAAAATGAGGACCCAAATTGTTGGGGGCAAGAGGCTGACTCTCTAAACCGCTTAGAGAGGGCTGGAAAGCATTGTGAAGCGGGATATAAGTCCAAGGGCTATTGAGGCCTTCCTTTTTGACTTCTCAACCCGTTAAACCTTGATGTAATGTTAATTCTTTTCTTACAGGGACATGCACCATCCTCCCCCTTTATCCCTCTGGGCCTGTTCCCCCTTTGTTTGTCTATCCTCTGTTGCTTGGACTCACGGTGTCCCAATTCTGTAGAGCAGAGGCATCCAAACTTGGCAACTTGAAGACTTGTGGACTTCAACTCCCAGAATTCTCCAGCCAGCAGAGCTTCAAGTTGCCAAGACTTCAAGTTGCCAAGTTTGGAGACCTCCTGCTGTAGAGCTTTCGATATCCTGAAGTGCTGGAGCCACCCTTGAAGTCCCACCTCTCACAGTTTGATTCTGGGCACCTTTACCAACTGGTCAACATATGCCAAATCAGAATAGAGCTGGAAGGGACCTTGGAGGTCTTCTAGTCCACCCCCTGCTGAGGTAGGATATCCTATACCATTTCAGACAAGTGACTGTCCGGTCTCTTGTTAAAAACCTCCAGTGATGGAGCAGCCATAACATCTGAAGGCAAACTGGTTAATTGTCTCTTTGTCCTTCCTTGTAGGGTGTAAAGGTCCTTCAAGCTGCCTTCTCCTTTACTTCCTCCAACCGTTTAAGATACTTTTGGGGTGCTACACCCCCATTCTTGCTTTGTATGGTCCATAGCTAAAATAAGGAATCATAACAACAACCAACCCTACTTGCATTATCTCATACCTGATCTTGGTTCTTTCTGCAGCTCGTTGCTGGACCTTGGACTACCCGGTAGCTCTTGTAGATGCTGAGATCCAGGACTTGCCACGCTAACCGGGACAGGAGGGCGCATCTGGCCCAGCAGCTGAGGTCTTCAGCGGCCCCGGCTATGCACAGCTGTTGGTGGGGCTGAGTGGGCAAGCAGGAGACGGTTCTTCAGCACCCTTTGGGTTGGTGAGTGTGGGGAAGGTTGGCCTGGAAGGTGGACCTTCAACTCGGGGGAGGGGGTTATCCACCTGTTCAGGGTGGATAAAAATCAATTTAAAAAACAAAACAAAATGGATTTTTTATAAATTTAAATCGGAATTTTTTTTTTTTTTAGCCAAGTTTATTTTAATAAAACGCTTTTGGAGTAAGGATCTAAATGTAGTTTTCTATTTAAGATACATTAATTTAGATTATTCAGCACGAAATGGAGCTTCGTTTTGTAGCATGAAGCTGTGGATCAGTGATGGCGAACCTTTTTCTTGTGGTTTGCCAAAAGCGCATGCCTGCCAGCACCCACCATGCAATGCACCCCTGCGCATGAGCGTGCAACGGTCCCCGCCTTGTTCCCTTAACCTGCACTACGCATGCGCGCGCCTCCCAACTGTTTTTCAGCCCGTTTTAAGCCCGTTTTCACCCTCCCGGAGGCTCGAAGGAAACCTCTGCAGCCTCGGGAGGCCGAAAAATGGGCCTTCCGGAAGTGCCTAAACGGGCCCTTTTTCAGCCTCCCGAGGCTGCAGAGGCTTCCCTCGAGCCTCCGGGAGGGCGAAAACGGGCCGAAAATCATTTGGGAGGTGTGCACATGCGCGGTGCAGGTAAGTGTGGCTGGGTGCCTGCGCATGTGGCTTCGCATGCCACCCGTGGCACATGTGCCATAGATTTGCCTTCACGGCTGTAGATTCTGCCATATTGGGACTGCCGGTGAGTCAACAGTGGGTCAGAGGAGGAGCTGCTGCTGTGGGACAGAGATGACAGCGGCTCTTTAAAAAAATTATGATTTAAATTGAGTTTATTTAAATCAAGCCTTTTCATTAGTGGTTTAAATCAACTTGGTTTAAATCGAATCCACCCTGTGGGGTGTTTCTTTCCCACTTTATTTTTAACCTGTTGTTCTCAGAGAGAAGAATTCATTTTTGGGATTCAGGTTGGAACTATAACATCTTAACGGACATGTCTTGTTTTAAGTTATCACAACTGATCAGTGTGATTGTGCGTGTTCTGCTGCTGGTTGGGATTCTTGAGACTTAGTTGAAGCTGGTTTTAATCGTTGATGGGAGTGGAGGTTCTGATCCAGAATGCTGGTTTTATCTCGGCTGTTGTCTTGAGCTCAAAACTTCTAGCGGTGTGTAGAGATGCTGAGCTTGTCGGCAGTTCGGTGGTTTGGACCCCTAGCGCCGCGTCATGGAGTGAATTCCCGTTCCTTGTCCCAGCAGCTTCTGCCAACCTAGCAGTTCAAAAGCACGTTAAAAAAAAATGCAAGTAGGAAAATAGGGACCATTTTGGTGGGAAGGGAACAGCGTTCCATGCGCCTTCGGCGTTTAGCCATGCCGGCCCCATGACCACGGAGACGTGGCTCTTCGGCTTTGAAACGGACATGAGCACTGCGCGCTAGAGCCGGAAACAACTGGCACGTATGCGCAAGAGGAACCTTTACCTTTACCATCACCTTTTAGAGGGGATATGTTGGGTAATAATGGGTGAATTGTTCTTTTTAAGCCTTAATAAAGTCCTGCCGAGGGAAAGGTCTCCCAGAATGGCTGGGGAATTGTGGAAGCTGAGGTCCACGCGCCTTAAAAGTGGCCACTGCTGTAGGGAATCAAATAGATTTGTGATGGTTCTGAGGTTTTTGAATAGCAGTGGCGTAGCTTCATGGCTGCAGAGAAAACTCTTGATCCCACACAGGCCGTGTGTTGATAGCACAGGAAGGCGGCTGTAGGCCGATGCAGCCTTTGGGTCCACCTTTGTATGGGTCAGGATGATGGGCACTGTTGAGCATTGGGGAGACCGGGCCCCCAAGTTCATGTTCTGCTCCCAGATTGCCAGCCTCTCCCTCTGTCTGTCTAGTCTGGTTCTCTCTCTCTCTCTTTCTCTCTTTTCCATCTCTTTCTCTTCCCCCCTCTCTCCTCTTTCTCTCTCCCTCTCTCTCTTTTTCTCTCCCTCTCCTATTTTTCCCTTTCTCCCTCTCTTTCCTCTCTCTCCTCTCCCTTTCTCTTCTCCCTATCTCCTCTTTCTCTCTGCTCTTTTTCTATCTCCCCCATCTCTTTCTCTCTCTTCTCTCTTTCTCTCTCCACTCTGTCTAGTCTGGTTCTCTCTTCCTCTCTCCCTCTCCCCCTGTTTATCCTGTTCATTTTTCTCTTTCTCTTGTCTGTCTCTCTAACTATCTCGCTTCTCTCTCGTCTGTTTATCTATCTATCTATCTATCTATCTATCTATCTATCTATCTATCTATCTATCTATCTATCTATCTATCTATCTATCTATCTCTATCCATCCATCCATCCATCCATCCATCCATCCATCCACTCATCCTGTATCTCTGTCTTGTCCATCTGTCTCTTTATCTGTGTCTAGTCAGTTTCTCTCTCTCTCTCTCTCTCTCTGTCTCCTCCCCTCCCTCAATCTATTTATCTCCCCTCTCTCTTTCTCAAATTCATACACAGCCCAGAGTCTCTTTGGAGAATGACATGGGCAGTACATGGATTTCATTTCATAAATAAATAAATTGCTCGCACGTGCCCTTCCCAAGACTGAGAGCAGAACCTGAATTGGGGAGCCCCTGTCACACGCCCCCTCCCCACTTTAATCCCCTTGTGAGCCATCCCCAAGCTGACGGAGAGATTCAGGGTCAGGAAGCTGGACCTACACCCCTCCTCCACCATTCGGGGGTGCTTCAGGGGAGGGGGGGGCCTTGGCGGCTGCCTTCTCTAGCGGTGCGTCCTGCTCCAAACGGCCCCCTCCCCATGGAACGGGGGGGGGGGGGGCTGCTCCCCCTGCAGCTTTGAAACCCGTGGAGATCTTTTGTAAGGGAGTGGGCTGCTCAAAATGGGCACCAAAAGGGACCCTCCCAGCTGGGGGCTGGGGGGGTGAGGGAGCTGGGGGTGACTGAGGTGCCCCCCTCTGTTTTCCCTCACCCAAAGGCCAGCCCGAATAAAAGGCTCAGTCCATGTCCACCTTCCTCACCCTTCTATTCAGGGGGGGAAAAAAGGCCCCCAACTCAACCCTTCTCAAAACTGTTTGCCCCCAGCTGTCCCCTCCGTCTTGTTTCCTCCCACCCACCCACCCACCAAACAAAGCTCAGGAGGGGTGGGGACCGATGGGGGCAGCGTGCCCCTCCCCGCTCTCTTTTGGCTCCCCTTCCCCATCTCTCCCTCCCTCCCCTGCCCCAAACTTCATCTGGCTTCTTTGGATGCTGGCCTGCACGCTCCCAGGCCTGCTCGCCATCGCCTAGGTAACCGGGCGAGCAGCTTTCGCAGGCCGTCTTTTGTTCCCCCCCCCCCCTGGCCGTGATAAATGTGCAAACCTCCCTGGGGGTTTTTGCACAAAAGGCTGGTCTCTCCCTCTCTCTCTCTCTCCTTTTGTGCAGGCAGCGGTGCTTGCATTGTGAGGAGGGGGGGGGGGGGGGGGGGAAAATTTAACAGCGGCCCCCCCCCCCCCCCCCACCCCAGTAATATGAGCCTAATTTGCAGCGGCCTTCCCTTTTTGGTGAGGGCCCCAGCAGCCCCACCTTCTCTGTATTTGGGTGGGTGGGAGAACTAAACTCCCCCTTTGCAGTGAAGGAAAGGGCAAAGTCATCCCCATTCCCCCCCCCCCCCCCCCCGTGGCTTTTGCTGGCCTCCCACGTGGTCACGGGATCAACAATTGGTGACCGACTCGTATTTATGACCCCCGGGGGTCCCATCCTTTGGGGGGGGGACCTTCGGACAAGCCAAGTTGATAGAGAAGCCAAGATTCACTGAGCAGCTGGGTTACTAATTTTAACAACGCCGGGGTTTTTCGTTCAACAGCAAAGGCCGTAAAATGGGGGCAAAGCATACTTTACACAGGTCTCCCTTACCCACAGAAATGTTGGGGTTCGGTCATGGTTGTAAGTCAAGGACCCACCTGTATTGGCAGGCTCAGGGTCCAGAATGGTCTCCTGCTTGAATAGGGTTTGGACTAGAAGACCTTCAAGGGTCCCTTCCAACTCTATTATTCTATATCAAGGGTCTCCAACCTTAACAACTTTTAAGACTTGTGGACTTCAACTCCCAGAATTCCTGAGCTAACATGACTGGAGGAAGAATTCTGGGAGTTGAAGTCCACAAGCCTTAAAGGTGTCAAGTTTGAAGGCCCCTGTTCTATATTATATTCTCAATCTCTGCAACGTTAAGAGGGTGGAGCTCAGCTCCCAGAATTCCTCAGCCCGCATGTGCCAGCTGGGGAATTCTGGGAGTTGAAGTCCACAAGCGGCCGAGTTTACGTTTACATTTTATTTGATTTGTCAATTGCTTACAAGATACAGATATAAGAATAAATATAGTTTTGAACACGTGAGATAGATAGTTATAAGAGAAAAAAAAAACAAAAAACAATAGGACGGGGACGGTAGACACGATTGGTGTGCTTATGCACCCCCCCTAGTTTAAACTAGTTTTTTTTTTAAAACTAGTTTCAAGACCTCCTGGCTTAAAGGCACACACTTTTCAATGGGAGGCATAGCTGGCTGGGGAATTCTGGGAGGTGAAGTCCACCCCTCTTCAAAGATGCAGAGATTAACAAACCAGTTAAATTAAAGGGCAGATGTTTTAATAAGCTGAAGGATTTTCACATTGTTTTTTAAGACAGTGCTTTTTTTAAAAACAACAACACCTACATTGTTTTTTAAGACCGTGCTATTAAAAAAAAACCCTGCGGTGTTGCTCTTTGTAAGGAGTTTCTTTCTTAAGGTTCAGCGGAGGCCCGGGAGAGTCTTTCTTAAACAATAGCCTTCATTTGCAGATGTACTAGTTTCTATCTGCATGCATAATAAAAGGGAACCGGAGGCTGAGTAAGACGGTATGGCCACATGTGGCTTAGGAGAGAAGAAAAGAGCAGATAGGCAGGACAATGCAGAACAAAGAGGTGCAGAAAACAAACTGAGTTTAAAAACATTAAATGGTGTTGGTTGTCTCTGATCCTAAACGTCTCAGGAATTTAGCGGGGTAGGTGCT